ATCAAAATACACGCAAAGAGGGCCGCAGCGTTTATCAAATTAGTCCCGCCTATACATCCCTACATTCAGTCTCAGAATGAGAGGTGCCACCAGTCGCCTTTCAATACACATGCAGTTAAGCCATACGCATTAAACGAACGGGCTAACTGTGCGAATGCAGGCGCTCCATATATCACACAATATGGATCGTAAACATGCCCCGTGGCACACTTCCCATCATTGACCGAATGGGTGGGCCACTAATGGCCATATAGATTGAAATTCCTTGAAGCAAATTCACTCACAGTTTGTCATCGATTAGCTTAGCTTTGTCGATGCTTGACTACTGATGACAGCACGTGCCACTCTCAGATTTTCCCATGCTTTTTTAAGCAATATGTCTAGTATAGAGAGAATTTTATCCTAAAACGAGCCATAATGCTGGCAACCAGACACACGATTTACCAATTATAAGATGTTGTCCATGACCTTTACCCGGATTTTACAGCATTTTCATACAAGCATGTGATTGCATTAATATGAAATCGGACCACAATTTCCATACCAACTTCCTCCTAACCACTCTCCACCCACCACATCTCCTACCCTGCCCCAGTCGGACCCCATGCCCAGCCCTGCTGGTTAGTACCGTAACTACCGTTGACGTTAGCAAGGACAAACCATAACAGAATTGCAGCTGAGAAGAATTTCTTTCAATGGTCGCAATTCCAGCACTGTCCACAATCGTATGTCTATATTTTATCTGACCTCCAGCATCAACGACATAATAAAATACCTCAATAGATAGCAACTAGAGTCATGAGCAACAACCAATATACCATTTATTTTCTACACTATCTAACTAATAGCCTGCTACTAACATCACACTGTGCTAGACGCGTGTACTCACAGAGTTCCTTCACTAGCGTAGCTAACTACGCTAGCTTGGCCACGGTGCAGTAGCCTGCTACTAACACCACACTGTGCTAGACGCGTGTACTCACGGAGTTCCTTCACTAGCGTAGCTAACTATGCTAGCTTGGCCACGGTGCAGTAGCCTGCTACTAACACCACACTATGCTAGACGCGTGTACTCACTGAGTTCCTTCACTAGCGTAGCTAACTACACTAGCTTGGCCACGGTGCAGTAGCCTGCTACTAACACCACACTATGCTAGACGCGTGTACTCACTGAGTTCCTTCACTAGCGTCGCTAACTACACTA